CAGCATATGGCTTTGTCCTACAAGCAGTGGCTGGGGGCCGCAGAAGGGCTATTGGAAGAGAAGCAAGTAAGCATAACATTTAGGACCTACAAAGTAAAGGCAGTCTAAGCTCTACACCAATCAAGCAATAGGGAAGAAGTGTCTAGGCAGGGCCAGTAAGTCAGCACAGTTACTATTCATGCTGATCTCACACAAGAACACAGCTGTGTGTCCCAATTCACTTAATGTGCCATGTGCAGATCGGTGAGGGTTCAAAGAGGACCCCTTAGAAGCAAGCAAAGTACAAACACTTCATGCCATGGAAGGTACAAAGGATGGGCTAATTGTCTCCCTAACTGAGTCCCTACCACCTCAAAACATGCCAGAGAAAGACACAGACTCTCCACCTGTCCAGAACCACATAGTATGATATATGGTCAAAACCCATGTTGATATAATCTCTGACTAAGCCTTGGCAGGCAAGAGGGGAAGAATGTGTGTGGGCATACCTTGTTTCCACTGGACTGTCACAAGCATGGAAGCACGAGCAAGGTTTGTATTGTAAGAATGACTAAGGAGTGCGCCAACTGAAGACACGGGGATAGGAATAGCAAGCAGTTGGTGTTCATAAGCACAATTGTCTTCCCTTTTGCGTCCATAGGCCAGCATTCCCCATTATCTCTGCTGGCAGACACATGTAACATTCCAGTTAGGTAGTCAAACCATAGCTTAACAATAGAAAACAATACCTTTGAAACACAGAAATAGAAAGTGTTTCCACAATGAACACATCTAATTTTCCAACAACTTGATCAGGTAGGGACTCTTATTTCCAACTCATACACAAAGGAGTTCAGGTGCAGTGTAAGTTGAGATTCATTACGCTGTTGTTCAGGGTAGAGTAGCAAAGAATAGTTATTCTGGCTATCCCAAGGCTAGAACTCTCCTCCTGGTGGTAGGACAGAGGATGGATGGCTGTCTGAGTGAGGCATGATGGCACATTCCTGAAACTACAGCAAAAGCTGGAGGATTTTTGTTTCAGGCCAGCCTGGGCTACAGAATGAGATTCCGTACCTTGTCTCAGAACAGTCAACCCTGTCTAGATACAACTGTGCTCCTCTTCGAATCAGAAAGACACTACAAATCACACTATCCCATCACGTCACTAGCTGCACATCAGCAAGAGACCTGGTAGCCATAGTGACTAAGCAGGAGCAGGAAATCAGAACATTAAATAATAACTACTTTTTTTAGCTCTACATTTTTTTAAAGCACTACGTACTGTCATAGATAATATGGGGCCAGATGTAAGCAACAGAGAAAGACAAAAAAATACAAATAATTTTTTTAAATATGCATATTTTATCGGGCTAAGATATTATCACACAAATCGCCACACTTTGGTGCCTGTGCCAGTGCTCTGAAAGCACCTACAGAGGACTGACAGATGGACAGACGCACACAAACAAGCTCATTCACATGGCACATGGCCAAATAACCTTATTTTCTTTTGAGTCTTTGTGTACAAAGCATTCCGGGCTGTTTTTACAACCTGCTTTGCCATAAATGACAGCCCAATAAAATAAAAACTAATGATTAACTTTTACTTCCTAGAAGCCACAGAATAAGAAAAGACATTCAATAAGCTGTGCATAGAGGGAGCTGACTTTTCCCAAGCTCTCTGAAGCAGGTTAGGACTATTTGCTGTGTGTGAGCTAGTCTTGGAGCTAGCACAAGCACAAGGCACTAAAGAGGTGAGATTCTGGGTTGAAATGTTTACATAGGGTCTTGGGGTTAAAACTCTCCATGAAGATGTGTATTTCTAACTGCTTCTGACACACCTGGAGTCTGGACAGAGACTAAAGTCTTCCAGGTCTACATATCTGGAACTAGCATTTCTATGGGATTAATGGTTATACTATGGGATCCTTGCCAAACACTAAAGATATACAAGTCATTAGGGAAGAAAGGCAAACAAATCATATCCTCATAGAGAAATAGCAATTGACCAAACCAAGCAAGAGCCTCTATAGCTGCAAGAATTGCAGAGCACAAATCCCAGGAAGGGGGTTCCCTAGAGACTTGTCAATTCAAATGGCAGTGGGTGCGAGATAACTTCCAACCCACTCACAGCATAAGGAACAAAACTCTGGAGTTCATGGCCCCTGGAGGAGTCTCCATGGAAAATCCTGTCTCTCAGTTGGTACCTTGAGGAACCAAGGTAAACTGGCAGTAGGCTTGAGAGGGAGCAAAGCTCAGCTTCAGACACTTCAGTTCCTAACTGCATTAAAGCTAATACAACACAGAACAAAAGCAAAGGCTCTCTAGAGAAAAACTTGCCACGGTTTTCCACACACAGTGTCTGGTACTCAAATCAAAACTAACAATGTACAGGTGAAAACAAGATGTCGATAAAAACCAAGGACAAAAGAAGTGGATAAACATGATAGCCAAATGCTTCTTAACAGGTGAGCTCATTGCAAAATAATGACTGTGGGGCTAGAGAGACAGCTCATCAATTAAGAGCACTGCCTGTCCTCTTCCGGAGGACCCAGGTTCAAATCCCAGCACCTACTTGGCAGCTTTCAAGAGTCTCTAATTGTAGTTCCAGGAACTCTGATGCCTTCTTCTGACCTCCATGTGCACAATACACACATACACAGTCCACACACATCCATCAGGTAAAGTACATATGTACACATAAATTTAAGTATTTTAAATGACTGAAAATACACAGCAAAAACAGCACTAAAAATGAATCAGGGCAGCTGAAATGTAAAATACCGATAACACTGAGTTCTGGTAAGAACAACATTTGTCCTTTAATTCTTTCTCTGATCAAAAGGCAGCTATACAGGTCCCTGTTATGCTGCAGTCTATACTCCTCTGTAGCATTTCATAGTTAAGAGTTTTAAAAAGAACTGAAAGTTGAGTCTGAAGAACAGAACAGCAAAAGCTGTATCATTTTTGGCTTTCAGAGTCATAGTCAAAAGTCACGCTTTCTTTATTCTGCAGACAGTAAGAAGCCATTCAAAACCAGGTACACTGGTGCAAAAGCTGAAACTCCAGCAGCACACTAGAGGCCAAGGCCAAAAGGATTCTGAGTTCAAGAACAGCCTGGACTATATAGTGAGCTCTAAGCCAGCCTGGGCTAAGCAACAAGATTACAACTCAAAAAAAAAAAAAAAACAAAACAAAAAGAACGAAAGAAGAGTGGGAGGGAGGGAGGAAGGGAGAGAGGGAGGGAGGGAGGGAGGGAGGGAGGGAGGGAGGGAGGGAGGGAGGGAGGGAGGGAGGGAGGGAGGGAGGGAGGGAGGGAGGGAAGGACAGACGGATGGATGGATGGACCCATGAAAGAATTTCAATGGAAAAGTGGCAGTATTAAATTATTTCTGCACTAAGACCATTCTAGAGGCAAGAGATGAGAACTGATGAAAGACAATGATGACAGCTCATCTATGGAATAAAGAAAGCTGTAAAGATCTCAATAATGGAATCAATGATTTGGGGCTTAGTTCTCAAAAATGATGAAATGCAACCCATCAAATCAGAAAGCAACTGAGGCCACTGTGACAAAGATGAATCTAAATGGGACAATTTCATTGGAATAAGAGTGACATCCAAGAAACAGCCCGCAACTGGTGAAAGGGAAATATGAATTTTCCTACAAATCCTTAGAAGAAAGTCAAGACTATAAAAGAGAAAGCTAATGAGCGCTCAGCTCAACACCAGATGGTCAGATAGATACATTCACAATGTGCCAAAATTCTGGAGCCTTGCACAGCCCCTTCCAAGCATGCAGATGCTTTAATCTGACAGGGAAAAATCTATTTCTGCCTCTGACAGCAAATGCCAAGTCACGTCCTGCCAGGGGAAAGTGGCTGCTCCCAACCACAGACTCCCCAAGTATGCCCAATCTTACTCCCACTTAAGAGACATGGACTGCTTGGCCACCACTTCCACCAGCCCTGCCACAAAGGAAAGAAGGGTAGAGTTTCTAAAGATCTCAGCTTTTTCATCTGCGATCCCAAAAAGTAGAGAAATAGCTCTAGATTATTCATGAATAGTCTACATTCATCTGTGAAAAAAATTAAGCATATCAAACAAACCTATCTGCACATTCTGAAAATGGCCTGAGGCATGGAGTCCAACAGGTTTTTCAAGGACTCTAAACTGGCTAATCTTCCAATGAGAAGCAACTAAAAAATTAATGTTCTTTATCTTTGTCTTCTGTGCATTGCAAAGAGTAATAAGCATAGAACATTACCAGTGGGGCTGGTTTTAACACTGTTCTTTGGTCAGATTGATGAATGCCTGTTTGATTGAGATGGAATTATTATATATTCCACCCCCAATGTGTTTAAAGACAAGACATTTTCAAAGATGTTCTTTGTAAAGGAGGCACTGTCCAAACACATGTTCATTTCAAATCTCCATTTTTATGTACAGCACTGGAGAGCTTGATTTTAGAGGGAGGGAACTTGCATTTAACATTCTTCACAAAGCAGAGGAAGTAAAACTCAGAGGGACAAGGAAGTCTTCTATTCCTGAGGAATATGGTACATTTGCCTGTCAATAGGTTCAGGAAACAACCACTAAGGGAGTCAAGTTCCTGACTGGACAACTACCCATTCTCATGCTCTCCATATAATGCTCCTGAATCAGAACTTGAGCCCAGCAAACCCCAGGCAAGGAGTTTCATGAAAAATACCATCTACCAGAATTTACCAGTTCATATTAAAACACAAAAGACTTGTATGGTATTTTATATATCACATGTTGCTCAAATTTATGAGATGGTGCATAGGTAAATGCCCCCAATAGTTATCATTGTCACAATTCAGTGGCACATAAAACATTTTTATACAGCAGTCTACAGCTGGAATAAGACACATGCTTGAGGTATTCTTTAGGGAAATGTGAGGATGACGTCAATACAAGCACATGAATCCTTGCTGCTGTCTGCTTAGAGGACAAGTGTCACCCTATCAAGGTACAAGCCTACTCTACAAGATACTCACTGGGTTGAGTGCTTCCTCAGCAGAATGATGAACAGTCCACCAGTCTGAGGTCCACTCCCAAGCGTTCCCCACTATGTTGTACAAGCCATAGCCATTGGGAGGAAAGGCATCAACCTAAAAATAAAGAAGGAACAACACTGACCAATTACTCAGCTTGCTTTAAAAATCTCTTTGGCACACGAATGTACCAAGACCTATTTATTTCAGAATATGAATATTGATTTTCATCCCTACGTGTCAAAAACCAATCTGATCAACAAAAACAAAAAGCCCATGCAACCTGTTTTTGGTTTTTGTTGTTGTTGCTTCTTACTTTAACTACTCAGAAGGAATTTAGAAACCTAAGAGGAGCTTTATTGAATGACCCAGAACTGTTGAAGTTATTTTTAGTAGTGACTAGCAAACACTAACTATAAGTATCAAGACTTCACTAGTATGAGAGAGGATGAGTATCTGAGAGAGAGAGAGAGAGAGACAGACAGACAGACAGACAGACAGACAGACACAGACAAACAGTACTTAGGCCTTCAAAATCATTAACAGGAATATCCTACTATATAAGTATTAATGTAAGTCTTGTCACTAAAAAATCAGCTTTTTGTGTCATAGTGTCTTTAACACTGTAGATTCCAGGTCAACTCTGCCCTTTCCACAAGCTCCCTCCAGTTGACTAACTTATCTTTGAACCTTGGTCACTGTCATTATCCCACGTGTTTCTAATGGCATAACTCTGGGATGCAGCAGTCTGCAGTAAATTACATACTCATATTCACCAAGAGATCATAGTATGAATCAAAGGCAGGTCAGACAGTACTGGGCACCATGTATGCACATGGAAGCAAAGTGCAGTTTATGTAAGACAGAGCACAAGATGGGAACCATGGACTGAATAATAGTAAATTCAGGTCACTGGGTAGTTCATGACGTAAAAATTCCCCCACTCATGATTGAGGGTTTAGCTCAGTGGTCAGTGCTTGCTTGTGAGGCCCTCACAATAGGCAGGGAGGAGGGGAATATCTCAAAAGGGCAAAGGCACACATAAAAAACACCTTGGGGAAAGAGAATTCTTTCCACCTTTTTTAAAAATCAATTTGTGATGAAAAAAAAAGTGGTTATCTTTGAGAATTTTTTCACTTTTCATAATTCATGCTTTTCCATACTAACGAAGTTAGACTATAAGAATGAATAAACTAACACTCGTTTCTAGGTGGCTTCAGATGGTTTTACATCTACACATGAATACAGAAGCATCTGCTGCTTAGGCAATTCAGAGCATTTCAATCAAAGTTATGAATCCACACTGAAAAGAAGTTCCTCGAGAAGAGCTGGAAAGTCCAAAAACCCCACCATGCTGCTTCCAGAATCAGCATTCACTATGGAAACAGCCGCTTGTGCCTTGGCTCATTGAGAAATGCCATGTGTGGCCAGTATGGGCAGGGAGGGGCTCAGTGGCAAATAAGATCTTAAAAGAGTTTAATGAGGGAAGGAGAAAAGAGAATGCCTCAAACTAAAGATGGAGCTCTAAAGAGCTGGGCGTGGCAGGCATGAAGACAATCCTACCACTTGGGAGGTGGAAACAGGATGATCAAGGTCATCCTGGGCTATACAGTGAGTTTGAGGCTAACCTAGGCCACATTAGACTCTCTCTCTCTCTCTCTCTCTCTCTCTCTCTCTCTCTCTCTCTCTCTCTCATCTTTTTGTTTTTGTTCCTTTTTTAAATCCAGTTCTACAAAGCAGATTGGGACAAAGAAAGGAAGATGATAGCAACTGCCACAGAAATGGCAAGGGGCCAAACTCTGGTGGGGATCTCAGCACACCCTGTAATAGAGCTCTGTGACCCAAATGTAAGAGACAAGAGGGAGGGGTGGCCACAGCATAAGCTATTTATTCGAGAACTTGAAGGTGACCAAAAAGTGTCCCCTGGACTAAAATGGAAGGAAGAAGGAAGAGAAGAGGTGAGCTGGGCTGTGGGGAGGGAGTGGAAGGTGCCATGGGGCAGGGGGAATAAGGAGGAGAAACACATTCTGCAGGAAGGAATCCATCTTCGGGCTTCTAGAAGGTTCGGAGAGGTGCTGTCAAGAATCTGTCACACCCCAGACCGACAGCTGTAAGGCCAGCATGGGACTGATCCAGACCCCCAGAGTGTGGGGGTCAGTGAGGAGGCCTGGGCAACCTATGGGGCCCTGGGCAGTAGATCAGTGTTTATCCCTGGCATACAAAACAGACTTTGTGTGTCCATAACACAGAGGGATGCTCTCTCAGCCTGGACTCTTGGGGGAGTGCCTGGACCCTGCCCTGAGTGAAATGACAGACTCAGGACATCCCCTATGTGGAATGAAGTGGTGATAGGGTGGGAGGCTGGGGGGTTGGTGGGGGAGTGAAGGAGGAGGGGAGGGAGAGGGAACTGGGATTGGCATGTGAAGCAAGCTATTTAAAATTAAAATAATAAAATAAAATAAAAAGAATCTGTCCCAACCATCGTGAGTGCTGTTGGTCCTCAATAGGAAAGTGACAGTGTCTGATCAAAGGTTTGCCCCCTTTAAGTAATTGGACATTTGAAGTAAAAATGTGAAGGTTACCATCATCTTAATTACTAAGTTATTAAATGTGAGTATGTCAGCATGAAAAATGAAATTTTCACAGCTCATGATTTATGAATTACACTAACCAAAGCTTCCTTTCAGGAAAAGTTAAATCCTGCTTGAAATGCTCATATTCAGGCACATGAGTCCAAAAGCATTAAAACATAGATGAATTAATGATTGTGGGACAGTGGCCTGGCAGAATATACATCTAGTTCCTTAGGTTCACAGCACTGAGCATGCTGAGAGGGGGCAGGAGGACTGTGAGTTTTATGCTAGCCTGACCCTGTCTTAAAAATGCAAACAAACAAAACAGTTAAATACTTGTCCTCGACCTCCCAGAGCATGCTGACAGTCCAGGTCAATCTACGGGCATTTCTGCATGTGTCAATTCAACTTAAAGACAGACACTTGCCTCATCCTTGACCAAACCTTGTTTCTAGAACTCCTGGTACCTGGAACAATTTCATCTTGGTAACTCCAGGGACAATGTCTTCAGGGAAGTTCTGCAGACACCTGATGACCTCTCTGTCAAATACTCTAGTGCTGAACACGGGAAATGCAAAGCAGTGTTTGTGTGGCTTTGTGCTAGAGTGGTCCTAGGTTCAGTGCACAGTACCAAAATAAAGGTAAAATAAACGTGTGTGTGTGTGTGTGTGTGTGTGTGTGTGTGTGTGAGTGTGTGTGTGTGTGTGTGAGTGAGTGACTCGGAGCTTTGTGTTGTATACAAATGTACCCAGAAATGGCTCAATTCTTTTTCTCAGCTCACCTAACTAAATGCACATAGAGTACTGTGGTGGTAAATCCAGGAAATACCCATAACTGGCCTTTTACTAAAACTGATCGCTGCTTACATTATTGATCTGGTTCATTACAGTTACCATGGACTTCTTCAAACGACGGGGACAATGCTGACTGTTTCCTGAGCCTCTAGGATGGAACCTGTTCCTCTCTCAGGACACAACGACCCTGCTCCACAGCTGAGCACGTGCACACTTCTGTACTTTGGCCTTCACAAGCTCATTCGAATGTTGTTACTATAACAACCAAGGTCTGTCTCTGTGGCTCCATCCGAGCCATGCCCTGGGTTCAGGGTTTACTGCAGCTGCTGTAGGTGGCACCACATGCTTTGAGAGAAACCCCTTCTGCCAAGGTCTCTCTTCCTGCCAGGCTCTTGCATGTGTTCACATCCAAAATCAGTTGAAGATGAGTTTGAGACAAACAGTATTATCCATTTTCAGGGCTACCTGCACCTACTAATGGAAGCCTTCCTCCTTCCAACATATAACAGCCAACATCTTTTTATTACATTTCTTTAGTGTGAGAGAGAGAGAGAGTGTGTGTGTGTGTGTGTGCAAGCATCTTTACCTGCTGAGCCATCTCACTGGCCCAGACACCCAACACCTTCCCTAGAGTGTGTTGCACACTCACATTAGGCACACTCACATTAGGCACTTCCACAGACATTTGGTTCCTTCTTCTGGCCAAGAGGCCCCCTAGAAGTCCTCTATCCTGCTCCATACCTAAAGTCTTGACTATGCCTGAAGAAAGTAGAGATCATTGCCTCCCTAAGACCTCAAATAAAACTCTGAGTCTGGGAGAGGAGCAGCTATCCTGAAGAAAATTGAGGAAGAACCAGCTACCAGATGGCTTGATTTGCCTTTTCAGCCTCTATTGAATAATGCATCAACTCCCATCAGTTTGAGTTGGCTTAACATATATGTAATTCACATACATGGAATTGGATACAAAAACAATGCATCATGTGCTTGTATGGTGTATGTCCTCAAGCAACCTGTTTTTAAACTTAATTCTGCTCCAAACACTGTGGTGCCTAACAATAGCTCAAACTGATTTTAAGTTTCTCTCCCATCAGGTGCCTCTTCACTCTTCGTTTTCCAAGAATTTTTTGGTCTTTTACTCTCATTTGGTTTTCAAGCTGAAATTTTCTAACCATTTGGTCATGTTCCAAATAACATATCTGTGTCAAATGTATAAATAGACTTTGCAGGAAGATTTTTCTTGAGGGAAAAAATGCAAATTTAAAAAAAAAGAAAAAGAAAGAAACTGTTTGAAAGACTCCTGGAAAAATAAACGATCATTTTCTTTCTAACAAACCCTGTTATGGGCTATTTCTTCATCACAAAACTTCTTTGTTCGTTATGCTAAGAGAAAGTAGAAATGTTTTTGTCTTGTCTGAAGAATTGTTACCCCCTCAAAACTTCTACTGAAACTTAGTCCTCAATTCAACAGAACTAAGAGAGTGACCTGGTTGGGGGGGGGGATAACCAAAGGATGATTTGATGTGATGAGTACTTCTATAGACAGGCTCAAAGTTGAATGGGCTGTGCTATGGCTCTGGCCATAGGAGGGCGAATTGCTCCTTAGTCCCTTCAAAGGGATACACAAATGCAGCCTCCATCTTATACCTGCCAGTTTCCTTATCTGCGGGACATGTTTTTGTTTAGCAATGGCATTTTGCTATAGCAGCACAAATTAACTAGGACAGTTTTAAACAGGGCTTCATTACTACATTGTCAGTAAAAGCTTGATGAGAATGGATCTCCTCTACATCAATAAAAAGAAGCACTACTGAATACCATTTAGCCAAGAAAGTTTTCTCAGTTGGGAGCGTAGCCACAGGCAAGGTGTTGAGTTTGGTTCCCAGCGGGAAAGGAAAGGGAAATGGAAAATGGACAGACATTTTCTAACCTTTAACATTTGATTACTGCTGGAAATATATTTTTTAAAAATCAGAGATAGTTCAGTATGCACATACAAGATGCTCACTGCAGTACTGTTTAAGTAAAAAATAATCCAAATCTATAACAATCAGAGGTAAATCAAGATTTATTTATATGACAGGTTATCTAGCTGGTGAAAGACAATGTGATCATGACCTATAAACAACAGATAGAATGTTCTTTACAGTAAAGGGGAGCCAATAGGATTTAAAATGTTCTATCCAGAGCTAGAAAGATAGCCTAGTTGTTGAAGCATGAACTGCTCTTCCAGAGAACCTGGGTTCATTTCCCAGCCCCCAAGTTGTATGCAACTCCAGCTCCAGGAGACCCAACTTCCCCTTCTAGCCTCTGTGGACACCTGCACATACCCATACACAGACACATAACTAAAAACAAAATCTTTAAACTATTCTAAGGCAAACTGATTCAAATCCCAGCTCGGCCACTTCCCAGCTGGGTAACAACCTTGACTGAGCTGGTTCGCATCTCTGTGTCTCAGAATGTCACTTGCAGGACAGGGACACCAGCACCTATCTTAAAGAGTTAAATGCACATTACTAATGAGAAGATCTCTGTATGATGATGGAGCTCTATGCCTGACACACCGCAAAGCTGGTGCCACAATCCCCACTAACCCCTACGTTGAGTGGAAAGACAAGGACCAAAATGCTAACAGGGATTAACCTGGGGGGAAGAATTTCAGGGCAGTTTCCTTTCTCCTCTAACCTGGCAGTCTTTTTCTAAATCTCCTATAGTCTGCATCATATGGTCAAAAAGAAAATGTATCATAAAAGAAACATCTGATGATTTCTAGCATTTGGCACTCTTCAGGGTCAATAATGTAGGAAGAAGAATGTCAGTCAGAGAGTCAGAGAGGGATTGGTGCCTTTCACTCCATTTGTTGGGCGGGGGATGGTTCGTGATTTTTGCTTCATTTTTAACTCTGTGCGTGTCTGTGTACACGTGCACACATGCATATATACACGCTCATGCCACATTGTGTGTGTGGAAACCAAGAGACAGTTTATGAGAGTCTGCTCTTTCCTCCCACTGTAAGGGTTCTACGTGGTGACTCAGGTCACCACACGCCAGCAAGTACCTCTACCCACTGAGGAAATCCCCTGGCCATGGGAAATATTCATAAGACGGGGTCTCATGTAACTGAAGGTAGCCTAGACCTCACCCTGTAGCTAACTTGAATTTCTGGTCTTCCTGCCTCAGCCTCCCAACTGCTGGGATCAGAGGCATGTGGTGGAACGCCTGGTCCTTTCATCCGACTTCTATTCTGTCTCAACTCCCAGGGCCATTATCCTTCTCTAGAAGCCTGGCTTTATAGAATATTATTTTAATATATGTTATATTCATTTATGCTGTAGAATATTTGTTTAATGATGCAAAGATGTGCTGCATTCTTTTATGTTGCATTTGTTTAACTTTGGTAAAGCTGTGTTACTTTGCCTGTCTAAAACACCTGATTGGTCTAATAAGGAACTGAACGACCAATAACTATGCAGGAGAAAGAAAATGGTAGAGGGCCGGGCAGTGGTGGCGCATGCCTTTAATCCCAGCACTCGGGAGGCAGAGGCAGGTGGATCTCTGTGAGTTCGAGGCCAGGCTGGACAGACAGCCTCCAAAACAATACAGGGAAACCCTGTCTCGTAAAACCAAAAAAAAAAAGAAAAAAGGAAAAGGTAGAGCTTCCAGGCAGAGAAAATGAATAGGAGGTGAAATCTAGACTTGAGAGAGAGTGAGGAGAGAGAAAAGGAGAGGGAGAGGGAGAGGAAGACCCTGGGAGCCAGTCACCCATCCACACAATAAGCCATGGAGTAAGAAGGGACGAAAGACCCAGAGACACAATGTGGTTAAAGAGAAACTGGATAATTTATGTTAGTTAATCTCACTAGAAACAAGCCAAGCTAAGGCCAGAAATTCATAAGTAAGAATAAGTCTCTGTGTATTTATTTGGGAGCTGCGTAGCATGCCCCAAAAGAGTTTTGTTTTTTGTTGTTGTTTTTTTTTTTTAAAAAAAAAAAAAGGCCAACTACACAGGCTACTCACCGGTGCAGCTCCTTGAAAGCCATCCTCCCCAGTGTTGGTCACAGGAAACTCACCCTGCCAAATGTTGGCATAATGTTGGCCTTTGGGCTGCAGTTTGTTGCCCCAGGGGAAAAGCCTATCGGGAGAGACACAGGCATCAGCACGGTGCACAGGCTTCTGGACTGCAGTCAAGAGAAAGGATGCAATAGAAGAGAACAAACAATGCACATTTGTTCTGAATGAGCTTTTTCTCTAAAAGGTATATTCATAAATATAGCTTTTAACTGGAATTTTAAAAAATTTCCTTAGAACAACTCATGTCAAGCGTACAACTGCAATCTCTCCTCACTAGTGAGAAGGCCTGAAATAAATAACATGACTGAAAGAAGCCTTCTAGAAATCTGATAAACGAGGCATCATTCTGGACTTATATGGTAGCATGAGCAGGCACAGCACACCATACTTTTTTTTTTAAGCCTTGTCTATTTTAAGGAGCTTTTCCTAGAAGATGTGACCCAAACATGCGTTTTCTGTCTTATGGCTGTAGAAGCAGAGAAATACCACTGCTTCAGAAGACAGCTAAAATAAGAAAATAATAAAAGCAGGGCAGCCTGCCAAGCGGCTCCGAGGAGGGACACTCGAGAGGATGCATGACCAGAACTACTCTGGGACAGCAGAGAGCCCATTTGGCCCCATACCTGGCTTTAGGGACTGGAATGAATTGATGACTCATCCACTGGTGTCACCAAAGGACCTCACAAGGAAGAAGAAAAGCCAGCAAGAACAAGAGATGGAATTAATCAGCTTCCTGACCACAGCTAGCTCCAGGGAGCTGAAGAGAAGTAGAGGGGGAGGGGTGGGAGAGGAGGCCAGCACACGCTGGACAGGGCAAGGCTTCTGATGTAAGCACCTGTTCTGCAGGCCTCCTCTACAGCTGTACTCCCACTCTGCCTCCGTGGGCAACCTCTTCCCTGCCCACGTGCAGTAGGCAACGGCGTCATTCCAGGAGACATGGAGAACCGGATGATTCAGCCTAGGGAGGAGCAACCACAGTTAAAAGAGGCATTGACCTGAAAAGAAAACAGGAACTAGATTCAGAAAGTGGCCAGAGGCACCCTCCATCTGGTCATGACTTCAAAGCCTAGCCGTGACACATCTGTACTGACCATTAGGGACTTCTGAAGTCTTAGAGCCCCAAATGGGTCACAGCTCATCTTGGAAATACACTCAAGCATTTCTTCACTTTGCAGCCTTGGATGCTCACAGAGTCCACGGGGATGGTGGACACTGGGAAGTTCCGCCACACTGGTTCAGCACTAAGAGTGCCATCAGCAGATGCTTCTGGCTCCTTTATAATTCTGAAGACGTTATGGGCACCTTAGAGTCCCCAGTGGCTATCACAGCAGGGACATAAGGCCCACAGCGACTCAGCTCATACATACGCTGCACATGCCCCAGAGTTCTATGTGAACGGGGCCAGAACTTCGTTGGACATTATAGTTTTGGCACCTACTCACTTACTCACGTGTGGGTCACTAACAGACATTCTACATGTCAAACTCTTACCTCAGCCTGTTTCCAGACGCCCGACTTTAAATGTTTCATCTTTCTTTATTTTACTAAAGATCATCCAGCACAGTTCGGCTCACTCTAGCACAGTGGTTCTCAACCTGTGGGTCGCAACCCCTTGGGAGTTAAGCAACCTTTCACAGGGGTTGAATATCAGCTATCTGGCATATCAGGTATTACACCTCAATTCATAACAACAACATTGTAGTTATGAAGTAGCAATGATAATAATGTTATAGTCGGGGGTCATCAAAACATGAAGACTGTATAAAGGGTGGCAGTATTAGGAAGGCTGAGAAACACTGTTCTAGAGGATCCCAAGTCAGCCTTTTCCTGAGAGGATGAGGAAGTCAAAGGAACTGAAATCACTTCTTTTAAGTGAACTGGACTGTCCCACTTCACTCCCCATGCATATGTGAATGCCTACCAGGACATTCATTCATTTTCTCAACAAATGTTCCTGAGAAGCTCAGCATCTAGCACACAAATGTAAAAGTACATTCTAGTGTGGGGGTACAGCCCAATAGTAGAACACAAGGTCCTGGGTTCAATTCTTAGCACCACAAACTGAAAATACATTCTTCTTCAAGTTTCCCTTCTTCTTTAGCTTCTCAATCAACTTTGAATGTGGGGGGCAATGATATGAACTAGAAGCTAAGAAGCCCAGTTCTCTCCATATCCCCAAGGATACTACAACTTTCTACCTCATTGTCTATTTCTAGAGAAAGCAGCTCAGACTATGAAAAGTTTGATACCTGTCAAGGGGCTGTATCTCAGAAGTTGAATTTCATGTACTCCCTGCTCCATGACTGTAAGGGCAATAACCCAGAATGTGGTTGAAAACGAAGGCCTCAAACCCCATCTGAAGAATGGGGTTAGGAGAACACAGTTCCCAGACTGTTGGAAGCTGAGTCATAATCGAAACCCCTCTTCAGCTCCAGAGTTTAACATGCGTCTCTATTTTTGATTAAGACAATTACCTCCCTGTCACCCTGGAGACCTGCTGACCGACTTGCCACTCTGGTTCTTTTAGTTAGACTGTGGCTTCTAAGTATGTCAGTCCAGGACTAAAGAGCACACGGATCCTATACCCAAGGCCTCCTGGCAAGAAACAACTCCTTATCTATAAAGTAATTCTTCTCCCACATAAAGACTCATTCATGGATAGACTAAACATGACATGAGATTTGTGGTGGCCTGTCCAAAGGGAAGAAATCTGTGAGGAGATACTCTGGCAAGACAAATGAAGCAAGACAGAGACCATTTATTCAAAGCCGCCTATGACTAGGCACAGTAGCTAGGTCTTTACATACATTATTTCCTACCATCCACTTTCCTCCCCAAGAGGGGTTGGCCATTCTTGTTATTCACTTTACATATGAAGATAGCTAATGAGTTCTACAGGAGCACAGTTTTGTTTTGTTTTTTGTTGGTGTTGTTGCTTTTGTGAACCACATCAATTGGGCATGACCAGACTCACCTGTGCAGAATACTGGAGTCTGGGCCCTCTGGGTGCCTCCAGTTAGCGCCTTTGACAGGTAACCACCATGGAGCAGCTGCAACCTCAAAGCAACCGAGAACAGGCCCTGTCAGCTACCATGATTCCAAAAAACCACTGAACTCATACACATAGCCAAAAAATAAATAAAAATCTCAATTAAGGTCAGGAGGTCTATTTGGGTCCAAAACCATCTGCCTTTACAGAATTTATATCAGGACAACAGATTTACATGTAAATACACCTTTAAACAAAAAGCTATTTATTCATACCATAAGGCACAAGTGACTTGATAGATATATGTGTAAGTTAAGTGTAGTATAGCTCCAGGAATTTTCTAATGTTGCTCTGCCCATTAATCCTCTATAATTTGTGACAAGTGAGAGATAGGAAGCATGGTACATTTCCATCTTTAAAGATGGGGAGGGTCTGGGCTGCCACCTGGGGCCATGCTGGTGTCTGAGGGCCTTGCTGCCATGGAGGCCATGCCAATCCAAGTGGCCTGTGCTGTTACCTAGGACCATGATGACATCCAAGCTGCGGCTGCTACTAAGGACCATCTCTGGGTCCATGGTCCCACCACAGCTGGGATCTGTGTTGATGTCCATGGCCCAAGGTACCACAAAAGGCCACACAGATACTGAGGGACTGAGTCACAACTTGTAGCCATGTTGGTGAGGAGGGCCATGCCACCATCAGGGCCATGTCAATCTGGGTGGCCTGTGCAGCCACATGAGGCCATGCTGTCATCTGGGCCAGGACTACTGCTGTGGGCCATGTCTGGGTCTGCGTCCAACAACACCCAGGGTCTGGACTGATGTCCATGGCTCATGTTATCATAGGAAGTCATAGGAATCATGCATGTTGAAATCCCAAGACCATGCTAAGATAGCCCTGCCCCTCACTGGCCCCAAGATAGCCGGCCCTTCCTCTCACTGGACACTGCAGCAGGAGAGCTGTCTCAACCCCTCATGGGAGAGCTGACCCCAGCACTCAGGTGAGATGGCCCAAGTGTAGGAGAGCTGGCCCTGACAGTATAGGCCTAGGAAAGCTGGCTCTTCCCCTTGCCTGAGGGGGCAGTCCCAGTGGCCTGGACCAATCAGCTTAGCTACCACCCAGACTCACATCCAAGGCCTTGGGTTGACCCACCCTAACAGCTGCCCCATCTATGACCTGCTGGAGTGTGTGAAGGAGTTGGTCCTGTGGAAGAACAGCCACAGGATCTCCATGACTCCGGGAGGGCTATCTGAGAGGGCCCAATGAAGATGATTCGAGAGAAGCCTTGAACCAGACCAATGATTTATTGCAATGAAAATTTTTCAGGTGGGACTGATTGGACAAAAGGCTATTCTGAGTGACACACTGCAGCTCCTGAGGCCAGCAGGATGAATGAAGAGGTGTTGGAAAGACAGAGAAGCGAGGTGGATAAGTTCATGATGCTTCACAGACTACATCTGTGAAATGGGATCAAGATTCAGCCTCCACTAACTCAGACACCAGAGGAGGTCAAACCAGGTAAGATTGCAAAGCACTGAGGAAATCATCACTAGTACCTTAACAATGTTTTTAAGGTTCTGTTAATCCTGTTCACCAGAGTAAAGAGAGTGGGAAGGGATCCCTACTGATTGACTGATTTGCTTAAAGCTTTGATGATGATCACAATTAGCTTTCAATTATGGCTCTGCTATTTACAGATTTAACCTCGCCAGGCCTACTTGCTCATTTGCAACAGAGTCAGAAGCTCTATTAGAGTGAAGAATTATAACAAGCAGGGCTTAAGGCTCTGCCCTTAGCAACTTGGAGTAATGTCTGAGCAAGCTGTAGGCAGAGGGAACCAGTTTCACTGGGCATGGCCCTATGACAAGCAGTCACAAGGACAGCCACATAAATCAATCATTATTGCTAACAGTGAAAATCAGAAACTTGGGAATGATTCCTCTAACATAAACTAGAACAGCCTCATGGATAGCCCCATGACAATTGTATTCTCAACGTACTGCATGCCTGTGAGCTTGGTGGAGTGGAAGTGACAGGGACTATGTCCCTGCTAACAGTGAAAGAAAGCTGTCACTGTGAACATCAAGACTACTCTCACTCATTTTTCTTACATTAGCACAATGAAAACATTTAAGATGTCTGCACAACAGTGTGATGAAAAAAGGCATCTGCTTTAAACACTTCAACAGAAAGGCATTTTGTCCTTCAGCACGACCACAAGGCATTGGATCTCCCGGCATGCAGGAGCTGAAAGCATGGCTTCCTTCTGCTTCATCAGCAGCTAGTCTGGGTTTGCTCTGTGTGGTGCCAGTGACAGGTAATTCACTTGGTGTCAAGGGAACATGTTCACAGGAAGCTCATGTCATCCCACTCTGGGATTTCAAAAAGATAACCACATGACTCAACCTGCCCAACTTCACTCCAAGCACAAAGCATTGCTATTGGAAGATTCTAGTTCTTAAATTAAAAAAAAAAAAGGAAAAAAATATATCAAATCTGGGTGGTAGATATTGGAACATTTTTGTTTTTTCTCATGCCATTTTGTATTTTGAAGTATTTCTTTCACCTATGGCAATGAAAAAGAATGCAATACCTGTTTATATCCATTCTGCCTACTAGTGGGCATTTGGGTAGTTCCAATTTGGAGCTATAATAAACAGTAATTTGAATATTCTTCAAAGGGCTTTGGGTAATACCCACTTCTGCTCACTGTACATTGTGGGAAGGGCTGCAGGTTATACATACCCCCAGCTTTAGAAGAGACAACAAAGACAGGGTTAGGAGCAGCTCCCCAAGCTTCCCAGTTCTTCCCAGGAGAATATCCGTGGAGTTGGGTTCTCCCCAGAAGACCCAAGAGCTGCTGCAGCAGTGGCCTGCCAGTCCTCTCATCTTTAGCTTTTCCTTGAATTCAGCTGGCTACAGATACTTACAGAGGACCCTCTTAGTGGCAGGCACCGAGTCTAATTCCTAGAGACGGTCTCCACGTTCCAGTGAGGCAGGATAGAACAGCAGGGAAAAATAAAACGATATGAGAAAGCAAAGAAGCCCTCCTTGCCTCAGAATCTACCTGGCCTTTCTTGCTGAGTCAAAAACAAAGGACAAACAAACAAAGAAAAACCCGCAACTGATATTGCCAAAACTGCCTCTAGGGGCAATGCAGGTTCTAGAGACATGGCAAAGATGCTAAAACCTACAAATGAACTCAGCTTACCTGGGACCAGAACCATTGTAACCTTGAGTTTTACCATATTAGCACTCCTTTCTCATGCCTACATCTAAGCTGTAAAACTGATGAAAACCACCTCACATTTTCAAAAGAAAAATCTTTTTCTTTGGTTTTTTTTGTTTTTTTAATTTTTATTTTTTGGTTTTTCAGACAGAGTTTCTATGTATTGCTTTGGAGGCTGTCCTGGAACTCGCTCCATAGACCAGGCTGGCCTGGAACTCACAGAGATCCGCCTGTCTCTGCCTCCCAAGTGCTGAGATTAAAGGCATGCACCACCAACGCCCGGCTCAAAAGAAAAATCTTTAAACGTCTCTACTTGAATTTGAAGTTTTGCTTAAACTTGGTTATAAATTCCTTCTGTTGTGGAATGTAAGTTGGAAAGCCATGGGATCACACACACCCAGTGTGGAGGCCAAGCATGGCCGTCCCAAACCCTGCCCCATATCTTGTGCTGTGTGCTGTCATTCCCCCAGATGACTTACTGTCTAAACACTCAATGAGCTCACTAACTCCACTTTACTCTGGCTCACCCTGACATTCTTTTGGGTAGTGTAATCAAGGATCTGTCTTTACCAGGTGGAGGGCCCTAATGGGGAAGAAAAAACGCCTCAGGCTGGTGGCAATGTTGGGACACTACTGTCACCAGGAATTGTCAGAGTACAGTTTAAGGTATTTGGTATATTGACAGGTTTTCAAAAATTATTTATATTATACATAATAATTATTTCATTGCAAAATTAGGTACAAAGTGTAAACCTAGTCACCTCATTTTCTTTACAATGTATCTCTGAAACTCAGACTCACATCCAGAAACACACACATCAGTAACGTGGTCCCTTTCCACTCTCTTTCTCTGCTTTTGACTTTTTCTTTTCTACAATTTCACGATACTCTAGCATACCACCCAAAATGAACAAGTTTTAAGGTCCTGGAGCTGTACAATGATCCGCTTCACTGATGGCTACAGAGGAAAAAAAGAACCCAACATGCAGGGCATAAGGAAGGGACACTGTGACTACAAGTCTTTGATCAAAGACCAAAGACTCCTGTGTAATCCAAAATAGCAAGATCTGAATACAAAGATATTTTTACTTGAATTGCATGCAAAACATAAGCAGGAAATGCAAAGCCACATGTGGACTCATAGAACACTGATTCTAAATACAAATTACAAAATTACCCAGCTACACTTAGGCATCAAAACTTACCTAAACATGGAAATATATCATGTATGTTATAAAAGTAATCTAGAGAGTATAGGTCTGACTTTGTTTCCATATTTGTGTAAAAAAATGTATGTTAGTATACCTAGAAGTAATAAAAAAACCAGGAAAATATACATACACTTAACAGGGTAAAGGATGAGAAGAATTTCACACTTTTTTTAGATGAGCGTGTATCATAAAACATGCTTTATCAGCCTCAGCACTCTGGACATTCTCTAGACCACTGAATTCCATCTCGGTTAGGGCTTCCTGTGTCAAGTAAAATGTGCAGCACCATTTCTGTCTTCTATCCACTACACTCCAGTTGCATGTTAACTGTGACACACAAGCAAATGAATCAAGACATTGTCACATGTTCCCCTGAAGAGCAAACTGCCCAATGTAGTGACAATCTCCAAAAGCACTAATCATTTAAATTGCTAATACATACTTCACACTGGCACAGTGATAGACACACCTGACTCTATCTAGCAGGTACACACTACCCATGTTTGAAAACTGCACAACATTCTACAAAACATAAGATCTCTCCAGTTTACTCATTTGTGAAGTAGAGACAAGAATCTCCTGTGTTCCCTACAGCTGACATAAGAATTGTATAACAAAATACAAAGCA